GTTTTTGCTTCTGGTGGGGGGGGGGGGGGAAGACAAATTTCGTGTGGTGCATGCGCATGATCATGCATGTTATATAAAACAAGAGCTACGTGACTCGCCACCTTTCCCTCCTCTCTTCTTTTCTTCCTATATATGGCGTTTACTTGTTTTACCTTTAATTTGGCCTTGTTTCCTTTTTTTTTTTGCGGATAATTGAATAAAACCAAAAAATATATATATTCGCAAAGAAAAATATTCGTTTCTTGCGTGATGACCAAATCTTAGATCCGAATCCTATTCTCTTTTCTTTCAGACACTTTATTCTTTTAACTTTGTTCTCCGCCTCTCTCATTTCGGTTTCGGTTATTAATTTATTATAATGCATTTCTTTGTAGGGATGTCAAAACGAGCCGAGCTCGCGAGCCAGCTCGAGGTTAGCTCGTTTATCACCGAGCCGAGCCAAGATTTTTTTAACCCAAAAAAAAACGAGCTGAATGAGCCAGCTCCTCATGAGCCGAGCCCAAACGAGCTAGCTCGGTTGGCTCGTGAGCTGGCTCGGGAGCTGGCTTTAAAAAAAAAATTAGGGTTTCTTTATCATTTACCTCTCTCACGCTTTTATTTTCGTTTCCCTCTCTGTCTCTCATTTGCTCAGTTTTTTTTCTCAGATTCAGATTGTTCCCTCTCAGATTGTTACCGTTCGCCGGTCGCCGCTCGCTTTCGTCGGTGGCCGCTCGCCGGTCGTCGATCGCCGGTCGTCGGCCTCTCTCGACCTCGTATCCCTCTCTCACAGTCCTGTTCGTTTCCCTCTCAGTCTCGCTAGCTCTCGCTCTCGTCGGTCGTCGCTCGGCGCTCACTGTCAGTCGCCGCTCGGCGCTCGCTCTCGCCGGTCGCCGGTCGCCGCTTGTCCTCCATCGTCGGTCTCGGCCTCATCTCCCTCTCTCTGTCTCGCTTGCTCTCCTCGGGCTGGTTTGATTTCTTGCCTCTTTTCACAGCTTCACAAATCTCTTCTTTCTCAGATTTGTTTCCTGATGTTAGTTGTTCTTGATTCATGTATGTGTGTTATTCTCTCTTGATTCATGGATTTTCAACGTGTATGTTTGTATAATCTGTATGTGCATAATCTGTAGACTGTACGTATATGTATAAATAGTCTGTATCTATGTTTATATAATGTATATGTATAATCTGGTATATATGTGTGTAATCTTGCAGATGGATTCAACGCAAAATTTGGATGGAAGTAAAGAAATAGATACGGCACCCACACAACAAGAAGAAGAGACTCAAAATACAGATGTAAGTTCTAAGAAGAAGCGAAAAAGGTTGACGTCTGAGGTATGGAATCATTTCACCCGGATTAGTGAATCACAGGTTCTATGTGATCACTGCAAACAAACATATACCCAAAGGGTTGATGCACATGGAACTTCTACTTTGAAAAGACATTTGGAGTATATATGTCCTAAGAAACCGTTGTGTATGGATCTGAGGACTGTGTTCAGGGATGCTGAGGGAAATGTTAGAATAACGAAGAAATGGAATCAGAAAACTTCCGAGGAAAAGTTAACAAAGTTCATCGTCACTCATGACCTCCCTTTTGCTTTTGTGGAGTATGATGGTTTAAGAGACTGGATTAATTATATGGTTCCCGACTTTAAGTTCTGTAGTAGGAATACTATGGCTGCTCGAGTTGAAAAGTTGTATTTGGATGGGAAAGCAAGAATGAAGTCTGAATTGGAAAGGATTCCGAGTAGGATATCTTTGACCTCGGATTGTTGGACGGGCATCGATAATGTAGGATATATATGTTTGACAGCCCATTATGTTGACGAAGATTGGAAGTTGAACAACAAGATTTTATCTTTCATAGATTTGCCTCATCCGCACACCGGTGAAGCTTTAGCTTCTAAGATTCATGACTTGCTGAAGGAATGGAAGATAGAGAAGAAGATTTTCACCATTACGTTAGACAATGCTTCAGCAAATGATTGTTGTCAAGAGATTTTGAAGGAGAGGCTTTGCTTAGACAACAATTTATTGTGTCATGGAGAATTCTTCCACATAAGATGCTGTGCACATATACTTAATCTCATTGTGCAAGATGGATTAAAGACACTTGGTGGTGCTGTATCTAAAATTAGAGATAGTGTACGGTATGTGAAAGCTTCAAAGGGAAGGATGGATGTTTTTGAGAGTTGCATAGAAGGTGGTGGTAGTGCTGTCTTAACTACGGATTGTCCTACAAGATGGAACTCTGCGTTTATTATGCTTGAAAAGGCATTAAAGTATCAACGCGCCTTTGCTAGATTGAAAGTGGTCGATAAAGGTTATAAGCATTGTCCTTCGAATGAAGAATGGGTTAGAGCGGAAAGAATATGTGAGCTACTACAACCATTTCACAAGATTACAGTCTTGATGTCCGGTTCATCTTACTGTACTTCAAATCTATATTTTGGACAGATTTTTAGGATTGAAAAGTTGCTGAAGAAGAACGTGGTTAGTAGCGATGATCATATTAGAATGATGAGTTTGAGAATGCTAGAGAAGTTCAACAAATATTGGGAGCATTATAGCGTTATACTTGCTATGGGTGCCATACTTGATCCGAGGTTCAAGTTACCATTCTTGAGGCGTTGTTGGAATGAACTTGATGGAGAGAATGCAAATGAGAAGTTGGAATTCCTCAAAACCAAGTTATTCATGCTGTACAGGGAGTATCAAAAGATTGTGAGTGACAAACTTACTCCAGCATCAAATGCAAGTTCATCTCAATATGCTATTACTCCAAGTGCAAGTACATCTCATCGTGTTTCTACGATTGATATACTTGATGTAAGTATCTTATATATGTATTTTTATAATAGTTTTTAATTTGAACTTTTTCTAATAGTCATTATTATTTAAATTTACAGGATTACTTTGATTTGGATGATCCCGATGTTGAAGGAGAAAGGGAAAGATCCTATTTGGACATCTATTTAGATGAAGAAAGATTGAGAGTGGTGGATTTTCATGATATGGATGTTTTGGGATATTGGAAAAACAATAGACATCGGATGCCCGATGTTGCTCTTATGGCTGCCGATATTTTAAGCATTCCTATTACTACGGTGGCTTCAGAATCGTCATTCAGTATCGGTTCTCATATTTTGAACAAGTATCGGAACCAACTTCTGCCATCAAGTGTGCAATCGTTAATATGTGCTAGGTCTTGGTATAAAGGTTTTTCAGAATTAACGGGTAAACATTTACATTTATTATTCTTTTCTGATTTATTAAATGAGTTGTTATTAACATATCTTTTTGTTATTGAAGTTGTCAATAATACAAGTGAAAATGGAGGTGACAATGGAGGTGGAAGTGATGGTGGAGATGAAGGTGGCAATGGAGGCGGAAGTGGTGTTGCGACAAATCTGAATTGAATGCATGGTTGATTGTTTTTGGATGGTTGATGTCTTGGTGACTTAGTTGGTGGATGTTTTTTGGTCATAAGTTGAAACTTGAAAGTTGGTACGAATGCAGGTTTTGGGGATGATATTAGTTGATATGAGTTTAGGTTTTGGGGATGATTTTTTGTATATGGACTAGGTTTTGAAGATGTTTTTTGTATATGGATTAGGATGTGATTATATGTGGATAGTTATGGATAGAAACTGAAGATGACTTTTGGTATATGGATAGATCATGATTTGATCTATTTGGAGATGGTTTTTTGTATATGGATTGTGATTATGAATATAAATATGATTTAGATGTATTGATATTTTTTTTTATATTTATGTGTACTTTGGATATGGATATGATTTTGTATAATTTGATATGGTTTATTAGGTATTTACAAAAATATGAGCCGGCTCGCGAGCCGGCTCGGGAGTTAAGCGAGTTGGGCTGGGCCAGGAATTTTCTGGGCCAAATAAAAATGGGCTTAACGAGCTGGGCTGAAAATGAGCTGGCTCGAAACGAGCTGGTCCGATCTGGTCCGGGCTGGCTCCTTTGACATCCCTATTTCTTTGGCAATTATATGTTTGTGATATGGACGGACTATATATGTGCTATATATAATTCCTAGAAAGTTGATATGTAAGATACGTATAATTTGAATAATTCATGTTATCTAACGATTTTAATTCTTATTCATCTCAAATTCTATTTTTTTCCAGATGATTGTGGAAGTGTGTAAGTGAAAAAAAATACATTAATTTGCCTTTTATGGATATAAAAAAATATCCATGTCACAAGAAAACCAATTCACAATTCATGGACCGAGTCTCGCCATCTAATAAATAATCGAAAACCTGATGAGATAGGAAATATATTTCGCACGAAAAAACTATCTTATGGAAGGGCTAAAATGGACAGAATATGTTTCAAACTACATGCGAAATGCTTACGTCAATTCGTAAATGAAATGTAATATTTATTCAAAACATTTTCTAAAAGGTGAGAAAATATTCGTTTAGATTTGATCCGGTTACGTTAAAAAAACGTGCATTTTAAAAATAACGTCTTCATTTTGTTTTTCTATTGATCTTATATTTAAATAGAATTTGATTCAGATTCGTTTAATTTTATTTTTATGAAAATAATATTCCATCAATTTTAAAATTAATTCCAATTGAAATGCGATTTCATATTATTATATTAAAATTTATAAATCCATAGAGCCCAACAACATATCGGGAACGTTCATATGGAGACTATGAACTTTAGATTTAACTTGAAAAAAATGGCGGGTTCGGTCGGAAGCAACACTGGATTTGGACCGTCGGATCAGGAAGAGAAAGATGATCTTGGACCGTATGTAAGGTTCCCTCTGAGAAACGCCTAACGTTTCCTAATACATTATCTCTCTCCCTCCCCTTCACTCTCTTTTTTACATTATAAACTTTACCTACTATATTTCGAATGTGTTGATCGGATAAATCCCACACCCACGTACACGAACCTACGATACATATATATAAGATAAATCAGTTGTAATTGACAAACGATAAATGAACGGTCAAGAAGTTTAATCCCCAACCTCTCGATATGATGATCATATTACTGACTAACCCACGGTACTGCAGCTTACCCCCTCTCTCTCTCCCTTTGGAGCTTTGCTTTGTCACTTCAACTCGCACGTCATTGCGTAATGCCGAACCTTTTTTTTTGGTATATATCTCTAATGTGGTATTTTCTTACTCCCTCTTCTCATTTCCGTATATATACTTACATATACGTGTGTGTATACATATATATATATATAGTTGTGTGTGTGTGTGTATGGATATTCGGGAAAAGTGAACGTGAAGAGTGTATAGGGTTTGGCGGTGGTCGTCTCGTCTTGATAAGATCTAGCCTCGACATAGGAGCACATATCTGGTCAGACCATTTTAAAGTTTAATATCGTTATTGTTAAAATTATCATTATTATTATTATAAATAAAGTATCATTGGAAATCTCAAGCTTTATACTTTAATTAAAAAAAATCATTAACTATTAATTAAATTTAGTGACCCCGATATATCCCGCTTTATAGACGGCGGTAGTGGAGGAATTTTAGAGAAGAATGAAGGGCACAAAGGGAAATCAAGAGTTTGACGTTAATACATACTTATACGGTCCAAATATATATATATATATATATATATATATATGTACTTCACAATTTATTTCCCTTTTTGTCCCTTTTATTATTTTACTTTTGAAATACAAACTCTAGTCGTAATTGATGTCTAAATAATATATTAAATTAAAGATAGTAGTAATGGATATAGGTGTAGATTGCTATGCATGATGCATGTGATGTAGTCTTATAGATGATTTAACAAATGGAGAGACACATTTATATATATACCCTTTGTCAATATATATATATATATATATATATATATAAATATTAAAAAAAAACAAATAAACTGTTCCAATTGCTATTATACGTACATGTCTAAAAAATAATAAAAATTTGCAATTATTATGTTTCATTCCACAACGGCTTTATTATGTTTCTTTCTTCTTATTTGAGTCCCCCACCAAAAGCTCCTTCAAGAAAAAAAAAAGAAACACAAAAGAAGAACAGCAAAACACACAGAGGAAAGGAAAAGAAAACCCTAAAAGCCAGAAAGCGAAAGAAGAAGAAGAAGTACAAGAGAGAAGCACACTGCGTTATTAATCTTTATCTCGTATTCTGATTCAGACGCATTGTTCATCTTCCTTCGCCTGTAACAAGATCCAAAACCCAGATCTTCCTCTTCTCATGTCTTTATCACTCCTCCTCTCTGGTAACTTACGTGGTCTTTTTTTTTCTGTCTGGAGGGTCGGAGGAAAGAGAGATGGTGAGTGGGCAGAGGTGGACGACAATGGCGGAGAAGCAGGAGGGACGTTTTCTCTATAAAAGAAGACGAGAGTCTTGAGAGATGAAACTCTGATTTGTTCACTGTAATCTCAGTTTGGTCTATGGTGGTATTGGCGGGACGGCTCAATCTTCTTCTCTTTTTTCCCTTTTAATTTCATTTTGGAATATAAATTTATCATGCTGACTATGTTTTTTCCGGATTTTAATTTCACAATATTCCTTCGTTTCTTCTCTTTTTTTTTTTTTACTCGTTGCCCAATTGCATTTATCGCGCGTTTGTGTGTATATATATAATTTAGATACGCCAAATTTGATATTATAGTGACTTGTGATTAATATGTTTTGCTTATTCAAGGACACTTCAATTTTCGTGGACCCGACACAGGAAAAAAAAAACAGGAAGAGATCGTTGTCTCTGTTCCTGCTTGGATCAAAGTGAGATACATCTTTCTGTCTTGATTAGTACTATTAATTAATATATTCATTTTTTAAATTTATAGATATATTTTCAGTATATTTATACATAAATTTAAGCGACTATATTTATACCCCCACGGTTGAAATAAGTATCTAATGCATCCGCACTCCTCTTTCCCGATTTCATACGTTACTTCCAAGAAATAGAGAAGTTGTAATTGCAATGTTATTATTTTCCCAATGCAATTTAAACCATAGATAATAACGGATAGTATAGAATACCGCACAAAATTAATTCAATATTATTATACATTTAGATTTGATTTTTACTTTTTAGGATATTTATATTCTACACAAGTATCTAATTTTTTTTTTACTGTTTTGTTGTCTTTTAGCTCGTATTATTAGAAACTATCTCATGTATGTGTAAAAAAAAAGCATGTGACCTGTTTTATTCGGCCGATAAATTTATAAATTTGTGTTTACAAAATTGAAATCCGTTCGTCTATGGATCGTAAACTGAATATTAATGAATGGATTAGATGGGAAAATGAATGAACAGAAAAAGAGCGCTCAATGCAGGAGAAATGACTGTCCTAATGCAAGGTCAAAATCAATGTCAGACCTTCATACTACACAACGCATATACATACATACACATATACAAATATATATATATATACACATATACCAACACACACACATATATATATATATATATATGTATACGTGATGTAAAATAACTTTGGTGTAGGAGGGTTTGCCACAATCTTCTTGGGAAATGTTTTGAATTCCCCTCCTGTGGGGCCTCTCTTGTGTTCTCCAAGCCCCAAACAAACATACATCACATGGGTCTCGGCGTTTACATAAAACATATATACATCGATTATATATATATATATATATGCTTATATATATATATGCTTATATATATATATATATATATATATATACGTGCTTTGCCTCGCATGTATTGTTTGTTTTAAATATCTATTGCCTTTATACAAGCGTAGAATATAATATATGCAGTCTATGGTTAGATACACAATTTTATAACAACTATCAACGAACAATACGTAATAAAAATGCGAATATATATATATAGACAGAGACATAGGATCATCAAGTATATATTTTTATTTCCCAAGGATTGAAATATAATCCCAAGTCGATCCAAAGAGTAAAAAAAAACTTATGCAAGGAATCAAAGGTATGTGATTCGGTTAAGCTTATAAAATCAAGTATATTTTTTGTATCATAAAATTCAAACTTTATTTAAACTGGACAAGATATCGACTGGCCCAGACTCACTCAGGCCCAGTTCCGGCCCATATTACTTTTTTTTTTCTGATTTCATAAAAAAAAATCCACACGAATACTTCCGATTGTAACATAATTTTTTACCAGGGTTATTGTTGTCCTAAATATTTAATATTTTGATCGATAAATACACAGTTAAGACGAATCTTATATCATGTAATCATACCTAAACTGAATTTGGATATAACCTCTTTTTAAACAAACACGAAATAAAAACCTCATAAAAAAAAATTCAATACTAATAATTTTGTTTAGAAAATAAATATTTTAATTGAAAAAAAAACGAGTAAGATAAGATCTAAATCCAATCTATAACTAAATATGAGTATATCTCTTTCTAAATTTAAAAAATGGAACTAAAATAAAATTAAAATCTAAAATAAAATTAAGCTTCGATTTTATGATTATTGTACAATTTCAGGACACGTGGCTTTTAAAAAAATATTTTCTAACAGCTCAAATGATTCCATTTAACAAAATCATATATAAGTGAATACTAAATCTGGATTCAAAGAAAATTAGAACTACTTTATACACACACACACACACACAAATGCTAAATGTCATAACAAATTATTACTATTGTATTTATTATATATATATAAGATCATATATATTATATCTCTAATTAAGTTATTAACAAGCATGACCAGCCTCCACCAACTTGCTAAGTTTCTTGTTCCTCAATCTTTCTTCTTGAACTTCAGCTCCTTGCATTTCATACCTTCACATTTGAACATATTCATAATATTAGCTGCTAATAACATCAAACCAGATCTGAGAATTGAAAATACCTATATGTGTGTGTGTGTGTGTGTATATAAGTAATTACTTTGGATGAAATTTAGGGTTTAATCGGATAAACTATACGACGGTTAGTACCTTGGTGGGATGGGTATTAATGGAGACAAGGATTGAAGAAGCTTGAGAGCTTCTTCTTCTGTGTTAACGATCCGGTCGAAGCAAAAATATCTCCCGCAACTCGAACTATCCTCCGATGCTCTGATGTGAACGTCGGCGAGGAATTTCACGTCCACATAAGCTAAAACCCCGTTTTCGTACATTTGCGCAGCTCCTATAACGAACGGAATTCGGTTCAATTAAATAGATGAAATTGTAGGGTTTCCTAGATCGATGTACGTATATTCTGATAAATACGTACAGAAAATCGTATTCTATTCCTATGTATATATATATGCATGTGCATGTACCTTTGAGATAAGACATGGTGGGATTAGGGTTTTGTTGAGAGACGGAGGGTCCGGTGATGAGACCGGCATTGATGGACACCATGTTGAGCGTTCGGTCCATTGCCAAAGCCCAAGCTGCCTTTTCGGATAATGTTTTCGCCAATGCATGCCACAACTATACACTCATATATGAAACCAATCATTTTATCACACACATATATATATATATATGTACATATAGTTTTAAAACATGTATATGTGATCTTATGTCTTATATCTGAATGTTAGGTTCAATAGAAACTTAATCTAGAAATTAGGAAACCTACCAACATTTAATTGTATACATCTAAAAATTTGGGAATACAGACAAGAAGAGTAACCGACCGGCCTAATATATATATATATATATATATATATATATATATATATATAAACAGTGAATTCAAGAATCGTACAATGAACCATGAGACATGAGCTGCAAATTCAATTTATCTGCCACCACTTAATCTCTTACTGTGTTGCCCACCAAATACGTTATATCATATATATTCATATGCCACCATACATTTCATGAAGACCCAACCTTTCACTATCCAAAAAGATTCTAACCCAAAAAGGAAAAAGCAATCATTTAAGAAATTATATTATAATAATTGCCAGATGATTGATGGAAAAATGATTATAATTTTAATTTGATTATTATAGTTTGTAATTATAAAGTGGGTCCAATATGCTGAAAAATGTCCAAACTATAGTCCGACCTGCATGTTCCTTTGGACCGATTGCCAACGTTAAAGCCGTCAGAATTTGGTGAAAACATAAATTTCAATTAAATAAATGATTAATAGCATGGTTATATTATATGCTCGCCAATATCATAATCGTAGTCGTCTCTAATTTTACAGAAATTTTGTACCAAAATAAATATTATATTTCAGAAAAAATATGTATAAATAAAAAATAAAATTTGTGTTGGTCGATGTATTTATAAAGGGTGAAAGAATCTTGAAAAACGTACTAACCAATAATAATAGTGCCAGAGCTATACATGACATTAATTTAATTTTTTATTGAAAAAAAATATAAAATTAAAACTGATTAAGGCAACAGAGGAAGTAGGCGGAGAAAGCAAACCTTCTTCTTGAGGCAGAAGTCTCGATCACTCCAACACCTCTCGTCGACATCTTTCTGAGTTCCGATGTTGTCCCGCCAGATTGCAGCAGTAAGAGAAGAAGAGAAGACAACCTTATCGATGGTCTCTGTTTGCGCGCATGCCTCCACCACATTGATCGCTCCTCTCACCTCCAAATCCACCTCCTTTTCCTACAAATCCTCTCTCAAATCCAAAACCCACCAAAATTAAAAACCAAAACTTTACGATGATGACAGGAACCAGAATCTCGAGGATTTGAGAGTGAGAAAATGGAGAATATACACGCACATCATAACCAGAAGGACTGTCTAAGCAGCAGAAGACGAGATTACAGCCTTTGAGAGACGAGAGAATGCTCTGATAATCCAACGTATCGACATCGTACACCACTAGTCTCTCTTCCTCCATCTCCATCATTTCCTTTATCTTCTTCTCCATCTCGCTCTCCCCTGCGAACGGAAAACGATTCATCTAATCCCCAACACAAGATCAACCCATTTCTTAAAAACCCTCAAATCGACGAGAAAGAGTGAGTCCGACGATGCCCAGATAAGAATTTCGTGGAAAAGGTACCGTCTTTACGGATTGCGGCGTGAACCAAGTGGCCTCTGGCGAGCAATCTCTTGAGAATCCAGAAACCCGCGTAAGTGGAAGCATCGAGAACACAGCAGGTGGGTTTCTCCTGGCCCATTTTCTTCTTCCTTAACAGATTGAATTTTGGATCTCTTTTCCTCTTCCGGCGATTTCCCCTATACAGAAGGCGCTTGAGAGAGTGAAGGAAAAAAGGTTTGGAAACGGCAGCAGCAGTAGAAGAGAGGTGGGTGAACTGTTTCTGTTGCACGTTCCCATCTACTGCTTACTCATCCTTGTAATTTATAGTATATAGTTTTCATTTTATAATGAAATCCATTTAAATTTAGTGTAAATTCCTATTTAATTCATTCCCCCCGGTTGATCCACGAGTCAAACCTTATCTTAAAAAGATTTTCACATTTTAGTTTATGTTATTTTTTGCTGGAGAAGTAACGCATTTCGGTCACAAGATCTGGTGTATATGTAAAGTTAGTTCCGCGTTGATAATAGGGAAATTCCAATATACAATTTCGTCATATTCAGATGAAAAAAATTTAGAATATGAGCACAATAATCTTTGATTCAAAGCTCTTTTTGTAAAGTATATCACCATTCTTTGTATCTTCCACTTTAAAATAATGAAAGAAAACCCAAACGTACGGAATTTTCAAAAATATTGAAAAAACTTTTGGAATTTTAAGTGCAGAGAGAACTTTTCTAACACATTATTTTATTTTCAATAGCTAGATTTTTTTTCAAAATGGAAATTAGCTGACCATATAACTATGAAAATTAATCATTTTCATATGTATTTTCAAAATAAAAAACATATATGAATTAAAATGATCAAAATTGGATCAAAGGAAAGTAGTTTGCAGTTAGATGGTTGCGAGACTAATAATGTGGTAGGCATAATCACAAGTGAACCAACCAAATACCATGAAATACCATCTTGCGTGAAACCGATATCGTATGACCCAATCATATATATAAACATTGTTATATTGTGTTTGTCCGTAATGCAAATATTTTGTTTTTTTTTATTACATGGTACCGATCTTCATTAGTCCATATATATTGGATCGATTTTCAAATCTCGTACCTTAAAGGGCGTTTTCTAAATTTGTCAAATACCGCCAGCTCAAAAATTTCTTTAACGCAAATTCGTAATCTTACGGCAACAGTTTGGAAATCTAGTTAAGTATTGGATTTGTCAGTCAAGGTTATATCTTATAAATTTTATATTTTTAACTTAAAAAGAGGAATACTAATGTTTCACTATTTTGAAAAACAATTTGCAAAATATAACAAAATAATCCAATATTTTGCAATTACACACGCCAACTCCACAAATCTCTAAAGAAAGGAGTCTAAACTCTAAACACATCTAAGTAATTGTCACTTCAACATTTGAGATGAAATTGCATCAACATCGACCAAGATTTTGAAACGGACTATAAACGTTGAGATTTTCTTGTTCAAATTTCTAGCAAATTCAGATTCTTTTGGGTTACCAAAATTTTGAACTTTTCAAATGAAATTAAAATCGATACAATTGAATGAATTTGATTTGTGACATTAGAAGTCAAAAGGATAAGGTTTTAAGTGCGATTAATGATCTCTCAAACAGATTGTCAACTTGCAAGTGGAGTTTTGAAATTCAGCCACTCTAATTAATACATTTATACGACCGGTTGATTTGGACCGAATCCGACAGATTCGGATGATTTGTACACAAAATAAAAATAAATTTTTTTTTTTAATATAAAACTCTTATCCAAGAGTAGAAAACTATGTTCTAGATAAAATATATGGACCAAATAATATTTTATTTGTTTTCTGTTAGAGTCCTATATCGAAAATATTGTAATATAATATCATGGGCACCCTCCCCCAATAAGCTAGTTTTGGGTTGAGTTCTATTCATGAGCTTTGAGATTTTGTTGGGTCCATTATTAATGAGTGGATTCTATCAAATTGGTATCAGAGCCAAACGATCCTCGGACATACAAGATGACACGGCGGAAGAAGAATGGTCAAGAGAGGAGCACAAAAGGTGCGTAGCCGCCAGCAACCGAGAAACCGCCAACGACCAGATTTGTCCCAGCGTCGTGGATTCTATAGGGGACGGTATTGATAAGTGTCCCACATTGGAAAAAGAAAGAGATTTAGAGCCAATATATAAGGAGGTCAAACCTCCACTCTTAAACTAGATTTTGGGGTAAGTTCTTTTCATGGACTTTGAGAATTTGTTGGGTCCATTATTAAATTATTAATGAGTGGGTTCTATCATTTTCCTTCCGGTAGTAATATAAAAAGAGATTAGTTTTGTATAGAAAAAGAAAAAAAAAAGACGTATGGAGTTTGGCTTCGTGTTAATGGGCAGACAAGACATTGTTAGAATCATCAGTACTGCTGTATCTGTCAGCGCATCATCTACAATAATAGATAATACAAAAAAAAAGAATAAACATGGCGGATGATGCTAGTTGACTCGGATAAACACTAACGAATATATATTTTTAGGCTTAAAATATATTTCAATTGGATTATTTTTGTATTCTTATTTTTATTTTAAAAAAATTATATCGATTGAATTTTTGTAATTTACAAAAAAAAATTATATTTAATAATGACTTTTTGTTAGAGTTTCTTAATTCGAATTTGAATTTTATTAAAAGTATATTCAACTCTAAAAACATGTTTTGGAATTTCAATTAAACTTATATATATATATATATATATATATATATATATATAGTGCACGAATTGGCCAAAATTATTACGAACTTTTAGTCCTTTCCTACAAACTTTCCTTTTCACGTGCACAAGAATAAAAAAACTTTTGGCATAGACACTTTAAACCATTTTTGGGAAACACAAACATCAAAGCTTGTAGCTAATGAAGAATGGCGATGAGACGAAGATTCTGGCGGCCTACAACGTGTCAACGCGTGATTTCGGACCGGAAGGAATCAAAGAGTATCAGACAAGTGGCGAAATGTCAGAGGGTTTCACATTGGCTTATAGCGTACAAGACCACGCGTCTTTCCGAACCAAAGATTTTCCGACCAAAAAACACCATCAGATCAAAGAAAGATTCTATACCAAATTGGGCATAACACAAACGACCAAACATACAAAATCTCCATGAAATCAAGAGTCAAAGAAAACCCAGATCAGGAAATGGTTAGATTGGGTTTAGAGTTTTGTATTCAGAAACAAGAAGAGAAAACATCCCCTCCACACGACATAACAATCAATTTTGGCAAACCCTTATTTCATGTAACAAAGTCACCTCAGTTTATGCAAATGAATGATTTAGACATGCGAGAGACAGCGAACAGAATTTCCGAAATCCCAACCTCGTTCTTAGATTGACGAAAATGACAAACCTCCGTTCTGATCAGATGTTCTTTTTCGAATTTCCCGACAAGCTATCAAGTGTTCCTTCAATCTCTGCAACAGAGGTTTGATTAGGCGTTAGTTCCTTATCGAATATATCCAAATTACATTTGTTTATACTCATCAAAATAAAAGAGAAACGGGGGAAAAAGAGTTCAGTTTTAATGGAACAGTACTTAGATGTATCTGGAAAGATTTTAACCAGGGTGATTCTTGATTCTTGAAGGATAAAGTAATAAGGCAAAGGATAGCAAAATTATTTATTACCCGTTGGTGTTAATTTTCTCGGACGAGGATTAAGATTAGTAGTGTTGCTTTCCTCTTCTTGAAGCTATCTCCGATGCCCAAGCTTTCCCTATATTGGTCTGAAACTTCCCTGCAATCCAACAGCAAACAAATATCTAGTTAACTCAATCTTTTCTCCGTATTTGTCTCGATATGCGCATCGAATGCATGGTAATTTACTGTTCCAATTTATCTTTCAATCCACAGTTTCTCGCCAACCAAACAGCACCAGAGCGAAAAACGAAAGCAGACAACGGGAAAACACAACGCGGCGACATGTGAATCGGATCGTTCAACGCTAAACTACCTTGAGGGGATAACAAAGCGTGAGAAAATCGGTGGGGCAGGAAGCCGAGGCAGACTGAGCCGCCGCGCCATCACAGCCGAGGCCGCCGGGGAAAGACGACCGAGTATCTCCAGTGGCCATTGCAGCAAACCGTACAACTAGGAGTAGCGGCGGAGGAGTAGATGAATCTGAGGTGGAAGGCGAGAGATGATCTGAAGAACAACGCTCGATTCAATTCAAGCAATGGTTTCCTCCCTGAATCTTTTTTTTTTCGGCCTATTTGGCAATTGTGTTTCCGTTACTCTTCCCTTCCTTTGATTGGGCTTTTAGGCCCAACCTTTAAAGTTGAAACAGATAATCCACCCTTATAAGGCCCAAACATTATGAAATAACAATAAAAAAACTGAATAGGAATAATTTTTTAAAAAAAAATATGTACTTTTTAGGAAAAATCAAACAATGACATATGTAAACAATAAGATAATATATGAAACTTAATATATATATATATATACACATAATCTAAGGAGTATTTATTTCTGTAGAATAACTTATCTTACGGAAATTTTCGATTGTTTGTTTGATTCTTATGATTTTTTATCGTGATCACGAGAATCTCTATATTTCTTTTTTTTAAATAATTTGATATGAAAACTCGTTGGTTAGCAAAATTTTAAATATAAGAAAGTTAGGAAATATACTTTCTTTTGTCCCATGGAGCAATTTAAGAAAAAAATCGTACCACAGCACATGCGGGCCACCAACTTTTTTTTTTTGTAACACATAGCCATATAATTTATTTTGATGTTATTGATAAAATATATTTCTTATTATATAAAATAAAAACTTTGTGGAAGTGGACCGACACATATCTCAATCTATATTACTTCCAAGGAGATATTTTAGAACCCCATCGCCATCATCACTCACAGTGACATTAATTCAACAACCTGTATTGATGATATTAATTACAACTAGACATTGATATGTGCGTACCAAAATAATCTCCATATTTTCCTGTTACCAAAATAATTTTTCCATCACGATTACCATAATATAATTAGAAACATTATTGTTTCATTCAGATGAAAATGAACACGATTGTTCCATTTCAAATATAATTAAATGACAATAAACACAATCATTCCATTTTCATTTATGGTAATTAAATAATTAAATGATTATTTCAGAAGCATTTATAGATAAGTCTTTCAGAAGCCTTCCGATTTCCCACGCAACAACAAAGAACGGAAAATTAATTTCTCGGTTAAAGAAATTATCTGACAATGGTAATTAAATTAAACAACCACCATCCTAATCATTTCTTAATCACGCGCTCAAGAGCGCGTGAGTTTTAAGCGCGTGAGTTTTACATAAAAAAAACAGTAATCAAGTCTCGACAACTTCCTCTGAAACCTCTCTGATTTGCTTCCACGCGTTTCGTTCTCATCTTTTAAGTTCATCTCCTACCGTCTCAAGTCTTCTCATCAATCACAATCCATCTCTGAGTTTTCTCTCTCTCGTGGTATCATCCGTTTTCTCACCCGGGAAATCGCCAAGTCTCGATTTTTCTGGGTATTTTCTGGTTTTCTCGCGTGGATCTCTTTCTGGGTTTTGTTAGTTCGTCCATTTCTCATCTGGGGATTCGCCAAATTTTAGATTTTTTTTCGTCTCAATCTCCATCGGATTTTCTCAGCACCCAAACAGGGACTGGTCGTACATAACTCAGAAACTTGAAACAATGGTTCGCTGCAGCAACAACCTCGTCGGAATCCTCAACTTCATCGTCTTCCTCCTCTCGATCCCGATCCTCGCAGGAGGAATCTGGCTCAGCCAAAAGGGCTCGACGGAGTGCGAGCGATTCCTCGACAAACCCGTGATCGCTCTCGGGGTCTTCCTCATGATCGTCTCCATCGCAGGACTCGTCGGCGCCTGTTGCAGAGTGACATGGCTTCTCTGGGTTTACCTCTTCGTCATGTTCATCCTCATTTTGCTCGTCTTCTGCTTCACCGTCTTCGCCTTCGTCGTCACGAACAAAGGAGCCGGCCAGTCAGTGTCCGGACGAGGGTATAAAGAGTACAGGCTCGGAGATTACTCTAACTGGTTGCAGAAGCGCGTGAACAGCGCCAATAACTGGAACAGGATCAGGAGCTGTCTTGTTGACAGCAAGGTCTGTTCTGAGTTCGAATCCAAGTTTGCTCATGACACCGTGAACGATTTATACCGAGAACATCTCTCCGCCCTTCAGGTATTGACCTTTGACATCTTCTTGCTTGCTTTAAATTTTCAGTTTCGGTCAATTTAGATTACAACCATGGTTCAGATTCCTTGGAGTACAGAGGGCCCTAAGTCGTCTGGTTTTAGGGTTTCGTTTGAAATTCTTAGGTTGACTTGCTTGCTTTGCTTCTTGTCTGGAATGTGAACTGAATTTACAGTAAAGTGTGTCTGTTTTTTCCGGACCAAGATCAAAAGATAGCCCACAAAAGCGCCCAAATCTTTTCACAAAAAGATCGAAACTTTTTTAGCATCTCACCAATTGATTTCAACTTCTGTGTAATCCGGGTTCTTCTGCATCTGACGGTGCCCCTGCCCTGAAATTGGCAAGATACCAAAAAAGTGATCTTTTTGTTAAAAGATTTGGGTGCTTATGGTTTTGTTATGGAATTGTGTGACTAACTCGCAATTCTTTGAAAGGACACTAGATTGTCAATGATAACATACAACAATTTCCTTGCGATTTTGACAGTCGGGTTGCTGCAAGCCCTCGGACGGTTGCCAGTTCACGTACGTGAGCCCGACGAACTGGAACAAGACCGTGGGAAGTCACACGAACCCAGACTGCGAACTGTGGGAAAACAGACCGGACAAGCTCTGTTTCGACTGCGAAGCCTGCAAGGCCGGTCTCCTCGACAACATCAAGAGCGCTTGGAAGAAAGTCGCGGTCGTCAACATCGTCTTCCTCGTGTTCCTCGTCGTCGTCTACTCGATCGGCTGCTGCGCCTTCAGGAACAACCGGACCGACGATTCTCACGGTCGTAGCTATGGTGGCTACAAGCCTTGAGGGGGGAAAAAGAGTCTCTGTTGTGCTTTGAGACAGCGTTCGTTAGGGCAGATAGATGCATTGTGTTTTTGAGTGTCTGGTGATTTGATTTGGTTCTTTTTTTTTTTTTTGTAAAGATGATGTTTTGGTGATACATCGTGGTGTGTATTTTGGTTGAGACCTTAATTACGATTAGCACCCTTAATCCACCGATTAAGCTGATTAAAAAAACAGAAGGGACAGTGGGCAAGAATTAAGTTAATTGTCATGGCGACAATAACTGTAGATAAAAGACTAAGCATACAAAGCCTGCAAGCCCCGACACAACAATTCAAGACAGGTTTTGTCTAATTTTTTTTTTTAATAATATATTTTCGTCCAACCATATCGGTGAAATTGATGTATTTATATAATTCTCCGACCTAAAAATCGCTCAATGGGTAAGGCCAAAGATATCATATATATATATATATATCATTTGGATACCTAAATATTTGTTGTGATATCTAAAATTCCAAAAAAAAATCCACTCATGCCCATCCCTAGTTATGTATGTGTTTGAAACCTTAAATATAGGGCCACGTTCGTGCTACATATATTAGGGTGCATGATTAAATCAATTTCTACAAAAAAAAAAAATATTAAGTACGTTGTGTAGCGGTTGTGTGTGTGTGTGTGTGAATATGCATGTCTAAAGTTATAAACTAAGGAAACTATAGCTTAAAAAAAACCCAAAGGGAAACTATAATACGACCAAGGAAGTAAATCTAATATGAAATTAAATCTATTATTCTGGAGTTGTTTCGACCTAGGGGTGAACACTGGTCGGATATTCAGAAAAATCAAGAGATTTGGATTTGGATGCGAAAGGCTCGGGTTTAACTATAAAATTTGTATCCGGGATTTGGTATTTACGAGTATCCGGAGTATGGGTATCCGGAATAATGGTCGGATATTCGCGGGTATCCGAATCCGAATTTATTTAAGAAAAACAACAATATTCATATATAAAATTTTCAAAAAATAAAGATATATTTATAAAAATTGATAAATTATGATAAAAATATATATATTAGACAAAAGAAAAAATAAGAGATAAATAATAATAAATTTAATTTTTTTAAATTAATATTAAAAAATATGATATTATTTAATCTAAAATAATTATATTTTATAAAAATGTTATATAAATATAAGATATAATTATTTATAATCATAATAGTCGGGTACCTGCGGGTATCCGGTTTTAAAAATTCTATTATCCAGATTTGTATTCGGATTTACGGATATTGAAAAATCGGGATTTGGATTTGGATTTAAAAATTACGAGAACCCTAAAATCGAATATCCGTGAGATGAGTATCCGACGGATATTCAATTTTCAGGTATCTATGTCGAGCCCTACTTCGACCCACTACACGACAAATTCGTTGAGACCACGACATGAAAATGGTTATGAATCACATGCAAGAGAATATGTACACGACAAGATGGTGCATCGTTCTCCTGTGCATATATATATCCACGTGAATCATACTACTAATTTGTATCTAACTGATAAATATCTTATAAAGTATTATATATATGTGTGTGTATGTGTAGATTTATAGCCCAACAGCTCGTAATTTGGTTCACTTTGCAACAAAAAAATGAATTATAATAGTTAATTCGAACCATATTTTTAGGAATATCCAACGTACTAATCTCATCTCCACACTTACTTATGTAACATGTTATATTTTCACGCACATGTGCAATGTTCTATATCTCGTGGTTTTTCAAACTAAAATATAGTTAAATAATAAATTGATTTTTATCAGTACGTTTTTTTTAGTAAAATATAAATTGTATTGCACCAAAACCTTAATTTTACAGGTCGTATAGAAATTAAATTTGGAATGTGTTATCCAAGAGATAAATTTTCTTATCGATATAACAAGGAAACTGATATAAATCAAACTAATTTTGCATTTGGATATAAGCAATGGGTAAGGAATCAATTGAGATTAATGGGTTTATAATCCTGAAAATAAATAATATATAGGTAACAGAGAAAATAGATAGAGAATCGTTTGATTTCTCATTATTTAAAACAAAACATTACAATATTTATAAGTAAAAAATAAAATCATATAATATCTTATTTAATCGATATAAATATTTAAAATATAAAAATAATACTAAATATAATATTATTCGCATCTCTTAATATCTTTGAGTAATCATTGTTTACATCCGAAATTACTTGGTGATTAATATATATATATATATATATATATATATATATATATATAATTGACAGTTTCTGTTCTGTTCAAATATTGAGATGATGTGATTAACAACGAATCTAACAAGCGATCTAGATTGTAAAAAACTCGAGTTTGGTTCGTTTCAACTCGTTTTTAAATGAACAAAAAATTATTCAACTCTATATCGACTCAACTAACTCGCGAGCCAACACAAATTGGCTCACGATTCAACACAGACAAACATTTGATATCGAATGAAAACTTTTTTGCGTGTGAATTAAGCAACATAAACATAAAACCCCATCTTGATCCTTAATATTATTTTATTCTTTATACTACATATAAAATAATTCATAACTTAACTAAATAAAATAACAAATATATTGATGTATTACTAGTTTACATATATATTATTTAATATTATATAATAATATAACATATTGGATTATCAAAGCCTGTGATATATACTTTTATTTTTGGGAAACCTATAAAAATACATATATTATATATATGTGTGTGTATATATATAGGGACGGACCTATATCAAATGGGTAGAATGGAATCGCAGTCCTTTCCCTATTTACAAAATTATTAAAATTTTTATAAATTTTATAAAATTATAAAATTATCAAATATTCCTATAAAAATAAAATTTGACTCTACAAATTAAATGTATAAAATTATTGCCCCTCTTATAGATTTTTCTAGGTCTATCACTGTGTGTATAATATATATATATATATACAGGAATATATAACTTAAATTATTACCCCTATTATTTTAAAATTTTAATATTTTCTTTTATTTTTATTTATTTGTAATTTGTTGATAACGTGCTACGTGGCAAATGAAAGTAGCCATTGAATTAACAGTGTATCAACGGCGTATAGAAATTTGAGAGAAATCGAATAATTCATGTATTAATTAATATGTCAATTGAATAATTTTGTATATTTTAACCATATTTATTTTATAAGGAATTTTCCGTTTATTTTTTTAATAATCACTTAATATTTTGGACCTGCGGTGGAATTGCTTTTTACGTGCCCCCACGTACCGAGGCAAGTGGGCCAGGCCCATGTGTGCACATGCACCTGTTTTCGGTGGACGCGTGCGTGCACAAGCGTAGCCCCAAGCCTCCCGCTTCCCCTGCGATTTCATTATAAATTCCTGTGCGTAGGCGTTAGGGCACAACATTAATGAAATATTGATCATAATTTGATATTTGTGAATTATTATTATTATTATTATTGGTGAAAAAAATAAATGACAAAATGTTCACGACATGCTATCTGGGTGGGCGATGTGCACGTAGTCATAGTAACAATAATTGTTAAGTTCCCCGTAAATTACGGAGGATAGCTGGAAAGAATTTCGTGCGATCATACACGATGTTAAATTATTTATTGCGATTTTTTTATAAAAAAAAATACGATTATCACGTAACGTATTTCCATTTTAATTTCTTATGATTTGGCTTATAGAGGCTTTTTTACTTCAGGATAAAAAAAATTCACTAAAAAGCTAAGAGAAGCATAGATAAGGTTATTACCTGAAATGAATGAAATGTCACTTTCAAAATCTTTCATTTTCTCTTTTGATTTCGATGTTTAAGTAAGGCTATAATTAATTTATGATGAATCCTAAATCATGAAAATTCTCTAACGTGACGAAATTCAAGCAACAAAACATATGGGACGGTCCTCGTAACTTTTGCGGTTCTTATTCGAATTAAAGCTTTCCTTTTTCAAATTGTTGAATAATTAGATGTCAATTTTTTTTTTCTATATGAGAAAAATAAATTTCCAAAATTCTAGGGTTACAAAAGAAGACGTGGGCCAGCAATAGCATGTGCATGCATGTGCTCTCTCTATCTCCCGAAGCCCCACCATTTTCTTCTTCCATTTGAACAAATAAATGGACCCTCTCTCTCTCTCTCTCATTCTTGAATCTCTTAAACCGCTAGCAGATCGATCGTTGAATCTCACGGCCACACATTCAACGGAAGAAGAAAGGTCGTGAAAACAAGGTACCTGATTCTCCTGCACAATTCTCTTTTCTTTTTTTTTTTGGCAAGGAAAAGAACCCTAGACATGGAAGAATGGACAGGCAGATATGATGCTTCATGAAAGCTTTACAATTGAAACTATATGGCATCATCTCCTCTCAGAATGTTATTGAATCTCGTTGAACTATCCATTATTATATAATTCCACCACAGGATGCGGCCTCCGAGATCTCTGAAGGAAGAATTCCTCAAGAAATGGCAAATGGGTCTTGAGCTATGGCGTTCTTCGGGAAGGAACACGGCTGTGGCGGATCGGAGGAAGGCGATAAAGGTCACAGCGGACATTGCCATGGCTTCCCTCCGAAAGGGTACGACTTGTTGGAGCCGAGCCCTAATAGCAAAAACAGCTAATTCCAACAATTATCTGGTGCGTAGGATTCTTAGCAGCATTCAAGCCGAGGGACTAATCAACAAGAAGCTACCGAATAAGACGGTGTGTCACAAGAAGATCTTGAGAAGGAGCAAGAAAGCGACGAAGAGATCATCATCGTCACCATCATCATCATCATCGTTACGAAGAAGAGGCAACGCGGCATCGAAGATAGCGAAGGGGCTGGTGAAGAGGAAAACACAAGGGTTGAGGAATCTAATCCCAGGAGGAGAGTTAATGAACAATGAGATCTTGTTAGTTCGAGAAACCCTAGATTACATCACGTCGCTTCAGACGCAAGTAGACGTTATGAGAAGTCTTGTCGATGCTACGGAGGCTGAAATGAGTTGTAAATGAGATTAAATGTTTTTACATAAGAAAAAATAATAATTTCCGGTTCTTTTACGAGGTGATTACCATTTCGGATCGGATTATGGTTGGCCGTTCGGGCAAAATTCCGGTCAATGCTATGATATACGAGGTTAAGTAATGTATGTCAGCTGTATTTGTACATATGGGAACACCACTAATGTTTCTGTAGGTTTTGTTTTCTTCTTTTGGACAATTTTTTTTTTTTTATAAAAAAAACATTACAATTGTCTAAACTTACGGAGGCTGAAATGAAGAGTTTAGTTTAAAAAATTAATTTTAAATTCATTACAATTGTTAGTTTTTTTATAAAAAAAAAAACAACAACAACAACAATTGCCAAACTTACGAAGAGTTTAGTTTAAATTCATTACAAAAACCCATTAACAATTAATTTTAATAAAAATTAATAATCAATTGGCTATAACTTACTAAAAAAACATTCTATTAAAATTTATTATAAAAGTATATCAATTTTAATTTTAAAAATATTTTGCGTTTACTTTAAAAAGAATGCATTATCTTGTATACAATTAATTTATATAAAAATCAAATCGATAGTTTGGAATGTATTAATAGATTACAGACCGAAACAAGATTTTCGTTGGCTTGATGAATCCAAAGCATCGGGATGGAGTAAGGGGTATTCTTGTTCATGGAGCTATCGAAATGCTATTGGGGACTATTTCACGAAGTCTTCACATCTTCAAAAATAATGGTGGAAGCTCTATTTGTTCAATCATGGTGGAGAACGAAGAAATTCATTTCTACGGTGAGAGAAATAACGTGGTGAAGAGGAACAATGGGAAAAAGATTTCTTTGTTTAATTGAACCGATTCAACCGGTCCAAATTAAATTTTAAATTTGCTGATGATATGGCATAAAAATATGAGGTGGCATCATGTGTGTATTGCCATGTCAGCCTCATCTAACGATGTTTGTGGTCAACGTCGGTCAATTTTAATTATGACAGTCTTTTACAAGTTTAGGTATTCTAATGGTAATTTTTTCAAGTCGAGTAATTTTTATAGGAGAATGCAAGTCTGGGAATTAGTTTTCCAATGTCAAACAAGTTGGAGAATTTTTATGGGATTAACCCTATCGTAATATAATAAATTTGAATAAATGTTATAGTTTTTTATTGTCATAAATAGAATTGTAAATTTATATATTTTTATTCAAAATTAATAGTTTTATATTAAATTGAAAGTAGAATATTTTTTTTATTAAGTTTATATGGTTAATGGATTTTTTTAAGAAAATAAAGTTTTTTTAGTAAGTTATATATTTAATAAATTTTAACTCAAAATTAACAGATTATAATTTTATAATTAATTTAAGAAAATAAATTTTTATCCATAAAAATAATCCTAAACAAATAGGATTTGTGAAACTCTATAAAGGGAATTCAGAGATTACTTATTATTATCCATAAAAAAAAACAAATTACTAGAAAGAATAAAGAACAAAGTTTTCATGTCTCGTTTTTTAAAATTATACCATTATATAATGTGAATTAAGTTAGTTATATACATATATATATTTATAAAATATACATAAAATTTTATTTGAACTCACATTATATAATACGACACGATGAGGGCTTTGTTTTTTTCTTCTTTGTTCTTTCTTGTAATTTCCTTTGTATGGAGAAAAATCAGTGACCTTTAAATTCTTTTTATCAAGTATTCACAAATCCGACAGTACTTGAGAACGAGGGCAGAAACCTTCTAACTCAGAAAGAGGATAAGATGAGTTAATGGGTGTTCTTATCGAGGAAGCTATGCTTGTCGTGTCGGGTTGCAAATCATCCTGTCCACTTAACGGGAAGAATAAAATAATTGTCACATTGGAAATTTGACAATGACCACTGACCAGTGACATAACAATGAAATAAAATTTCACTCTTCCTATGATTATATTGAAAATTTGGCATGACCATGTAGCCTTTAGATCCCATGATAACATGAAATTATTGTAACAATGTAAACAAAATCACCGTGATGTAATTGTAAACAATAAAATAAATATTCCCCACTAATAAAGATATTCGATTCTACCCGCCATAACCAAAGAACAATATTTTTCGCTCATATCTTAGATATATTATTTTATAATGACAATGAAAATATATATAGTTTCCTTAGCCGACATGACAGGATATCACGAATTTTCTCGCATTTTCCAAGTGGAAACTCGATTTTCTCGGAAATATATCGTTGCTCATTTCAATTTCTCTGATTAAAAAGATCAAAATCCTTCCCTCTCTAGCTTTCAACAGATTTCGGCATTAATTCCGCGAGACAACGAAAAGAGCAAAAAAGACGAGATTTTTTTTGCATTTATCTGCCGATGCCGCCACCGCCGATCCCCGACGGCCGGATCTCCGGCGAACCTCCACCACCGCCGCCGAAGGCCAACGGGAAGATACTCTCTCTCTTCCTCATTGGTCTTATCATGATATCTATCACCTCCCTCTTCTTCGTCCTCCTCGGTCTCGCCTCCATCATCCTCCTCCCTCTCCTCCTCACTTCTCTCCACCGTCACCACAGCCACCGCCGCCATGAATCCTCAAAGGGGTTTTTCTCGAGACGCTTGAAGGAGCTTCCCCAGTTCAAATTTTCCGAGCCGACGCGGTACGGGAGCGATTGCGTGGTCTGTCTCGACGGGTTCAGGCAAGGACAATGGTGTCGGAGGCTTGTAGGTTGCGGCCACGTTTTCCACCGGGGGTGTGTGGATGCGTGGTTGGTAAAAGTCGCAGCTTGTCCGATTTGCAGGGCTAGGGTTAGATTGGATGAAGAAGATGAAGAAGAAGGAGACTTTTGGGCATGTTTTGGTCAGAGAAGGAGTAGATTGCTAGAATTGTAAGTGTTTTGTTTCTCTCGTCCTTTGATCATAATTGGAAGAAAAACTTAAGTTTCTGGTAACAAATTTTGATCACTTATCTGATGAATACAAGCCAGTTGCCTCACTGTCTGTGCCAAATGAATGGTTAATCAGTTTCTCTTAGGTTCATTTGCTTGGAGGTTTGACATAATTTGCTGTCTGGATGAGATCTAAAGAACCTGACTTTGGATGTGGACAGTGTGTCATTGTTCTTACAGAGTTTGATCTGATGGTAATATATTCAAATTGAATGATGGGTTTTTGGGAGTAAGGTCTGCTTCCCATGAAAACTCATTTGCCTGCTCTTCTCATTATTATGGATGTTTGCTCTGTTTCTGTGAAGTGATCGATTCTTTTCTGTTCCATTTATGAAATTTCTTACAGTATCCTGCATAAGGTGAGAGCATTTCTTCTGTTTGTTTATGGGCAATTGCTTGAACTATACATATGATAAGCCCCATATATGCTTGGAACACATTTATGTTTCCATTTGCTCTCTAGTTTTTCTGCTTGATCTCGTTGAATGGCATGTGACCCGTGTCGAGATTCTGATCATGTTTGATAATAAGTTTGTAATCTCACCTGAGTGTGTTTTCTCTGCTTGATCCTGTGATATTTCTGTGCATTTGGTGATTTGGTTTTTCGTATTGGAAAAAAGAAAGCAGCAGGTGATGTAAGAACAGCTGTTTCTCCTCATCACCGAGAACCAAAGACAGAGTAGAGATCTTTAACCCAACAACACAAGCTAGCTTTCTTTTTTGCCAGACCCGTGAATCGTTCTGTGCTTCTGAATTCTCTGATGGAGTTAGCGGGTTTGCTCTTTACGAAGAACAGGTCAGCCGATGTTCTTCATGACAGTATTATTCCCTCTCGGGCATGTCTGTCTCATCGGTTTTTCCCGCATTCATCTTCCTGTTTGTCTACGTACTGCATCATATATCCTTGTTCTATGGTCAGTGTAGTTATACATGGTCTGCGCATCCGATCTTTACTTAAACTGGAAAGAACATCCAGAACAAAGAGTTCCTGTTCTTGACCATAATGTCTTGGGAATCGGCCTCCTGCTATTTGTTCCTGTGATGCTATTTTTTTCTCAGAACCCTTCTTATCTGAAAACCCGGGCCGTTACGCCATTGTTTTGGCACTTATCACTCGCCATTTCGATCCGATCCTCGAGGAAACCTGGGTACGGAATCCATGGCTGGCTTGCTAAAGGAATGTAGCTAAATCTGTTTCTTGTGGATCTTTTGATCGGTGTACTGTCATCAGGGTTTAGGACAGAGTTTTGTCTTTCCGGTTGACGTGTTTCGGCCTGTTTCCCATTGTAAGAGGAGCATCCATGGGGAAGAAGAGGTCGAGTTGCAGAGGGAACGTGGTGAAGAAAAAGTCAAACGAAGATATAATATAACGTCGAAGCTTCATCACATGAGTCCAATTTTTATGAACCAATTTTGACTAAGATATAGGCATGGTAACATACATATACACGTATGAATATATTTTATACGTATGTATCTATGTAACATTTTCAAAAATTGTGGAATCTAGATTTTGAAAGCTTTATGCCGACGTTCTTCTTTGCAATTATTCAAAAGATGCCACGTCCCTTTGTACAACTTATATTCTCATAGAATTTAATGATGCCTCGATAGACTCCAAACCATCAATGGATTATAGTTGTCATATGGTATACAGCATATAAAATATATCGATGGATCGAAAATAAATTTAAACTTTCCGTATGCGATTGTCTACGAAATGCCATGGGAAAAATATAATAATAATAAACGGATGATGTCGCATACCCGTTTCATATGTGGACGTATAACAAGGAGAAAACCCCCTAAGAAAACCGAAAATTTTGATCATACAACGGGAACTTAAAAAAAAATAGTTATTTTATTATGGTTGTTGTCACATTTATTATTATCGTATAAGATAAGATCGTAGGACCATATACAGCGTTTAAGGTTTATCTTGTTTTGGATGATATAACTTTTCAACAAATTACGGACTTGCCATTTTTACGTGCATGACGATCTCTCGCCCACCAAACCAACTGGAATATCGTCCAAATTGAAATATTATGTGTACATAAAACTAAATTAATGGAGTCAAATAACAATTGGGACTATATCTTTTGATCAAGTATGATGTTAAAAATTGAAATAATATATATATATATATAATAAAGTATGATATTATATATATATAATGTACATACGTTTTTTTTAATAGAGCTGAAATAATACGAAGATTGGATTTGTGATGTGAGGCTGCTTTTGTGTCCTTATCTTTTGACATTATTTTTTTTTGTGTTTGTGTGGATATTTCTCCATCATTTTGTCTCTTTATCTATATATTAATTTATTTATTTTTTGGTGGTGTGGGGGAGAAATACAAAGAACAAGATGGAAAGAAAAAGCTAATATTCATAGGCAGAAAGCAAATAAAAGGAAAAAGCGATTAAAAAACATTGTCTCATACGACTCTTCTTCCTCGTGTGAATACGTCAAATTCTTATCATATGGCCATGTCCCAAAAGTAGCTTATGCCTCTCAAGACTATATATAATTTGGCATAACATTTAATAAAAACAACCATGAAATAGTTTTAATTTCCATAAGATTAGCTCTATCGGTCATTTCGATGTGGCTATTCGAGATTGTTATAATTAAAGGTCATATATCTAACACCCTTATCGTTTTAAGACCAATTAATTCCATAAACTTTCATTCAATCAGTTATCTTAACTTTGAATGTATCGGACAAGTTGAGAAAGATATCCAAATACCTAATGATATAAAAAGAAATATTTTTTTTAGTATACTAAAAAGAAATAAATGTTTTACATGAATTGCATAACCGATCGATAAAATAGGTTAGGGTTTTACGTGTTCTAAAGATACCATAAGGAATAAATTAAGCAATATATAGGAACGTCGGTCCAAGTCCAACCAACTCCATTATATATATATAATATGGTCGTACGCCTCGAACGATGGCTGAAAAATAGAAAATTTTTAAAAAAGGATTTGATCGTAAATGGGGTTGGAGAAGTGATAATATTCGTTGGATGGCCAAATCCAATGACTCCATTAGTGGATAAGAAAAATTATTAAATATTTCTAACTTGGTACCTATCCATTCGTCATGTCAATTTCCACACGTACCATTATTTATATCACTAAAATCTCCTTTGACGTGTTGAATCTTCGTCCTCACGTATTTCCGTTGACTATAAAATTGAGTTAGTCTAATCAATTTCGTTAATTAAAATAAAATACGGTACATATATTACACATGCTATGTATCTCTTATATTATTTTCATGTGCATTTTTCTCGTAGAGTGTACGTTTTTTTTTCGGAATTCGCTTTGTGTTAGCATCGAACTGTGTAATATCTTCCGTTAGATGAACGACGAACGGACTGTATTTTAATATTCAGATAAAAAATTGCATAAAATATCTAGTTTTAATTTGGCAATATTAAAAAAAAAAACAAGCGAAACGAAAGGGTAATTGCAAAGTAACGAGTTTTAGGGGAGCCCCTCAACTTCGGCACGTGTCAACTGAAGAATTTTGGCAATCAAGGAAAACAAAAAGAAAAAGAAAAATCGTAAACAATCAATACAAGTGGTAATAGATAAAGTGGGCCCTACAAAAATCTTTTCGGACAACGTGGCCAATCAGTTTGGGTCCCATAAGATCACTGGAATTCTGATAACTCTCTCTCTCTCTATCTTTTCTCTATGCCTTATCTTTGTCTTAGAAATTTGAAACCCATCTAAAATGTGTTTGATCCCGGAAATGAAACAAATCTAAACTTTGTTCCAGAAAAACTCTATTTTTTCAGAAAATTTTATTTTTATATCCAAATAAAATATATTAAAAACTGTTTATTTTAAACATATATATAATAATTAATACAATACGCATATTTTAAATTGAATTGAAAATCGACAAAATATATAGATTTTTATATTTTATTAAATTCATTATTGTATTTGGATTTATATGTTACACATTTTTTAAAGACAGTTCTAAAAATTTAGTTCTTTTAGATAAATATTTATTTATATTGATAGAAATTATTGTTTAGATAACTTTTTTAAATAACGGAAATTTTCAGATTTTTTTAATTAGCAATATTCGTTTAATAAAAGTTGGGTGTAGATGGGGGGATGTATATACACACAAGGTCTGGGCAACCCGGCTCAGAGATGATGACACGTGGCAGAATCTGAACGGAACCACATCGATTTCGTACCGTTTTGAAGGGTCTCGAGAACGAGAAAAAGTTTGAAACGTTCCTACAAAGCGCTGACGTGTCAAAATATTATTGGACGAAATTGCTGCCGCTGATAGCGAAGGTCGGCCGAGTCATCCGTGACTTTTGCTGTTCCCTCCCACATGTTCCTCCCTATCACGCCACGTTTCTTCTATATGCTTGCCACGTGGCATTTCACAACCATTAATTAATTAATTCGGTGAAATGATAATTATGTGCATTCATACAAATCAAATCAAGGATTAACATTATCATTATAAGGTAATTAAGTAAAATGATTCGTTATCGAGTTTTTTTTTTTGCCACACATTAAATGCTTATTCCGAATATATTGCTAGAATATTTCTTCTGCATAATAAATATTTAAATATCCATTATTTTTTCCCGTTTATGGAAATAGAAGATAACTAATTGTAGAAGTTACAGCTCAATGCAACTAATTAGGCCTTGGTGCATGGATTTCGATGGGTCGGTTACAGTACACGCACGCGCATCCAGCTCTCGTGTACTCTCGACTTGAATCGACGGCGATGGTTAACCTTAATCCATACTGGGAAAATCTGGATCGTTGATTTTTCCACCTCGGTCACGTACCCATTTAAATACCGTCTCTCTCTCTTTCATTTCGTTCTTATCCTCACCGAATTTCCGTTTCTCTCTTAAATTCCACCATGGAGGCTCTCCTCGTAACTACGCGTTTTGTTTCTTCGGGATTTTTATGAAATCGTAAGACCCAGAAGAAGAGTAATCGATTAAATCCCAGAAAAGTTTTGTTCTTTCCTCGATTTCTCGATTTCCTGTCTGGGTTTTCCCCCTTGATTTCGCCGGTACCGAGCTCTTAATTTTCCTCATCTGTTTCATTGTCATTCGTTCCGATTCGTGATATGTTGCCGGGATCTTGGTTGGACCAGTTGAATCTGGTCTCTGCTGATGACTTTCGGATCATGAGCCGGATCCCCAAGGCCGTGACGAAGCTTCCCGGGCTCGAGACCGATCGCGACGACGACGACGCCGGCGAGCCGAGCGGCGGCGCCAG